TCGGATTATTGGTAAAACTTCCAGTGGAAAGTAGCCGCCGCACAGCTGAGGTAATTTCGTGAAAATAAGACGACGACGACGCCGAGAGACTGCGTCAATACATACCGTGGTGAGATGGATACGCCTTGTTGCGAAAGATTCGCGCCTCGAAAAGTTAGTTAGCCACTTTATGCCACGCTCGAATAAATCGTGAGATATTGGCTCTTTATATGTGCCAGCTCGCTCGTGTGCACACATACATTGTCACGATTTTTCCATAAATCTTCATGATCGAAATGCCCTGTGTGTATGTGTGTGTGTTTGCGCGCGCAACTCGAAACTTTATGATTCGATCGACTACTTTCACCGAAATCGGATATCGCCGCTTCCTTTTTTTTAATCTATACAAAATTTATGGCTTCAATTTTTTGAATTAAAAAAAAAGGCGTGCAAGAAAAATGCGCCCCGATTCATATCGCGGACGAGCGCATGTGAACGTAGGTTATTTTTGCGCATGGCTGTGCTTGTATGTATACCGTGTATGCTCGGTGTTGTATATGTGTTGCGCGGGTGTCGAGTCACTCGGTGCGAAGCACAGCTTGGTGCGCTGCAGCAGTTACTGCTGGCGTAATTAACGAAAGCATTTTTCGCGTCCAGCGTGCGGGGTTTTTTCGTTGCTGCCGCCGCCGCCGCCGTCGTCACGTGAAGATGTTCTTTATGTGGCTTCATTAAAGCAAAATGAAATATCGCATTATTGCCGAGAGAAACCCTCTCTCTCTCTCTCTCTCTGCGTGCTAGAAAGCGTGTGTTCGTATTAAATCGTTTGCACTTACTGTGCCGAAGCGCGTAATTTTAGCTCTTTTCACCCTGAATCGTTTTTCAAACTCACTTATATATCTCAAGTTCTCGGCTGGAGCTGCGCCACCGATTATATAATTCAAACGCACGTTCGCAGTTTCCAGCTACCTAAAAGCTGACTCGGCATCGTGTGCACGAGGTAGGCTGACCTGCTCGTGCGTCAACGTACTGCATATGGCCTGTATCGCGTCAACCGTGCGGTGCAACCAAAAAATGGCCATGATGTATAAATTAAAAAATGAACATCCTGAAAAATTTAAAAGCTTTATATGATATTTTCGTATACTCATAGGGGCTCAGAGTTGCATTATCAACTTTTAAGCTTTATTGAAATTAAAAATTGAATTTTTATTTCTTAATGTACTCTATAAGAATGCTTGTTGCGTGTCCCTATGCTACATTTTTAAACTAGTGCGAGTAAAACAAAACTATATCAATCATTCATTCAATATTGCTGTATTTATCTTTATTCTACACAATTTTTTAGCTATCTCAATGAAATTGCTACTTCTGTTGACAACTAATTCTTTACCTAATTTTGGGCTGTTTGAAAAATGTTGTTTATTCATCAATTTTTTAACTCAATCAATGTAATGATTTGTGACTCTCATTAGTATAATCTCCGTAAGAATGACGTTGTATTAAGCATAAAACTCAACATATTTTGAAAACAACGAAATTTTAGGTCTTAGATTCACGATAATTTTTATTTTAAGGCTTTACATAAACTAGTTCGTACTAAAAATTTAAAAAACTGAGCTTTTTTCATTTTAAAATTAAGTAAATTTCTGGAGAATTAACCATACACAGGACGAAACTAAATCTTAGGATGACTCTCGACTGGCCCGTACATCGATGCTTTCACACGGCTCGGCATCAGCTGTAATTAAAGAGCTCAACTCTTCGGACGCTGAGAGGAGCATCCAGAGCGCCACCACACAGGGCCACGACGGGGAGGCGAGTTCAAAGGACTCGCAGATGCATATACAAGTTTCGCGCAAATTAGTAGCGACATCGACTTGGATTTAGCAGGGATGTATATAGACGCGACTGACCTGTACTTACGTACCACACATATACACAAGTCTGGGGCTGCTCAATGTGTGTAAATCAAATGCAAATGTTAATGCTTCGTAGAGCGCTCGAGGGCCTAATCCATAATCATTACTATCACGAGGCCGTGCGTTTGAGCAGCTGCTGCTTAAGATTGATGCTGGCATATAGAAATCAACGAGGTGTTCTCGAGCACTTTTAGATCGTAATCGCGACCCAAGTTCGAAGCAAGGCACAGTAAGTGAAAAGCTCGACGAGTGGTAGTTGAAAATCACTCGTAAACGTTATCTTTTCTTACGATGCAGTACCATTTCTACAATCTTAAAAGTCAATGACCATTGCACATTTGATCGAAGAAAGAGAAAGGCAAAAAATATATAACTTTCTCGCCCGGACTTGCGTGCCTTTTTTATTTTTTACAAAAATGAGAGAGAGAGAGATAATGGTTTTTTTACAATGACAGCCTGCAATTCTACGAAAAATATATATTTCTAAAGAAATAAATTGACTATGTACGTTTACAGCGGGATCGTGTGTATAAAAATAAGAGAAAAAGTTTTTTTCATTCACACGCGTGAGTTGTAGAATGACAAAAAAGAAAAGTGTAGGGAGAAAAAAAACATCAACAACAATGGTGGCAGCAGCAGGATAAATACATCCTGGAAAGCGAGCCAAGATATAGGTACGCGACATCCTTTTCGGAATTCGCTGAACGATCTATTACTAGCCAGTCGCCCAAGCGATTGCCTTTCCACTGTTCAAAGCACAATTTAACGACGGTGAATATGTGTTTTCCTCCTCGGCTCTCTCGCTGTTGCTCGCCTTTCTGTCTAGCGGAGACATTTGTTCGATTTTCTTCTCTTTCTTTCTTCCCTACTTGCTCTTTTTTCGCATTGCCAAATAAAACTTCGGACGACGAAAAATCAGTTCGAATTATAACGTGCGCAAGGGCGCGCGGCGCACGCAGCAGTGTCGAAGAGAGTAAAAAAAAAAGCCAACAACCGGATAAAGTATACGAAAAAGTCATATAAATCTGCAAATTACAAGCGCGTTGGCGACGTTCATTTTCAAGGGGATGCAAAAAAAAAGGTCGAGCGCCGAGAGCTGCGAATGAAATACATTGTCACGTTGAATTTATAAATATAGACTCGTATTTTGTGACAACGGGGCCGGCGTACGCGCGTGTGGTTATATTTCCACTCGAGCATTAAGTAAATGCATCGAGGCAGTACGTGTACACCCTCTCTCGCGCACACGCTTGTAATCTATAAATTCAACGTTTTTGCTTGTTTTATTTGCCTCTTTGCCTCGAGCAACTTGATGGATTTTTGAAAAGGCGAAAATTGTACAACGGGTGCATTTTCGGTTTTTCTCCTATAGCCCGCGCGTACACGACGCGACTGCGCCTTTTTTTCCTCATTCGTACATAACGCCGGCTATATCGATTGCCGTAAACGATGAAATTCAAACAACGATGTATTTTACGCGAAAAATCTCTAAAAACGGAAACTTACACGCACTCGATGCAAGCAAATATCCGTAACGCGAAGAAGCCATTTTATCACGGGGGCAAAATATTTTGGTCAAACATGCAGGCATTATTGAGCAAGTTGTATGGCTGGCAAAATGTTTTATTAGACGGATAAACTAGCAGTCGAGTTTATAACTGCTGGTAAATTTCAAAATTGCGCGAGAGAGATTTTGCCTCTCGCCACTATCCGTATTGTTAGGCGCGCTTCGACAACCGCGCTGTACAGTTTTCGCGACGCAAAATTACATAGAATTCTGCGCGCGGGACTCGACGCGAGTTCGAGCCTGGCAAAGTTTGGCTTAAACTATGCCTGCGTCGAAGTCCTGCTATTTAATTTGGAATAATGCAGTTGTTTCATATTTACCCAGAGACTGCTTGAGCTTAATTATTAGAATTATGAATGTAATCGCGCGCGTTTGCCGAATCATTCCTCGGCGTTACACCACGATGTTAACAACAATTTTGATTTTAAGCTCTTTTCTTCGTTACACCCGCCTGGCAGTAGCAGCTCTCGCAGCTATATAACCCAGGGCTCTCGTACTCGCACGATGAAAAACTTTTTATTTTCATCAAGTTTCGGTATAATGCCCAGCCATATAATAATGATGATAATGATAATAATAATAATAATAATAATAAACGTTTCTTACTTGCGGTGTAAAATGGTCCGCGGCCCTCGAGCCGTACTTTATTTTGTCAGCTTAAAATTTTTACGTTCAACGACGAAATTTTTTAGCCCGGCGCGTGCGAGGGCCGACCCCGTGAAAAGCGCATTTTCTATTTCGCGCACGTTTCGACAATCCACAAGCGCGGCTGCGACAATTCGTTGCATTGTGCAATTGCGTCGTGTGAGTTTGTGTTCAGACTCTCCCTCTCGCTCTGAGACCACAGTACGAATGATTGGATTCGTAGACGTACGCTCGTACATATCCACGCGTGCGATTGTTGTCTAAGCATACATAGGGAGATCCATGATGGTAAACTCGCCGACGAATGCTTTAGAATCATTTTTTCGTACGAATTTTACCATGCTGCTTCATACTTCTCCAGATACCAAATAAAGCGAAATTATCGATAACGTTGGACAAACTGAAATTTTGGAATTCAAACTTCGAACGTGGCCAAAAACTATCGCGATAAAATCAAGCTCTAACCATAACACGCCAAACACATATAAGAATGGAAAAACTTTAAGCATTACCGTTGAAAAAGTCTCGATAAGAAAGTTTTCTTAAAAAAATATATATATACGTATATATTTAAAAAGAGAGAAGGAAAGAGAGAGAGAGAGAGAGAGAGAGAGTGAAGGTACGAAGCATATCGTCGCTCTGCAAAAAAAGAAAAGGCTAAAGTTTTGCTAGATGCGCCCCAAGCTGCTGAATGTATACATCCCGAGGTATATGCACAGCAGCAGCAGCAGCAAGAAACGCTACACGAGCATTCCCAAGTTCCGAAAACTAACTTGCCCTTCACTCGAAACGTTAATCTAACGAACGGAAACGGACGAGCGAAAAAAAGGGGCAGAAAAAAATGTACCGGTGTTTTGTTTACACATAATTATATGCAAAGATTAACTCACCGCTGTACCTTTGCACTCGGTATAAACAGGCTGCACTACTACTCGTGAGTTTCGGAAGCGGCAGTATAGCTGGTCGATGTCCGGAGCAGACTACACCTTGAACCGTTGCTTTGCGTTGCGGCTCGATTACATGTATCCGGATTCTGCTGCCTTTTACTTTTCTCTCGATTCTCTTGGCTTTCTTTTATCGGTTCAAAGTTAGTTTCCTCGTCCTCGAGTCATGTTCGTCAGGCTGTTTATTTTTTGTTTTGCATGTGCACCACACCAATTTACCGCACTTGTTCGCACAGCTAGTACACGATAATTCTACGCATCAATCGAGAGAGCTCACATTTTTGTCGAACAACAATATCGAAATATCACGTCATGGTATCGCTTCGTACAACCGAAGCTTAAGCGGGGCAATTTTATTGCAATAACTCGAATCGGTCACGCACAAATGGCAATCATTCGCTTTTATTTCTTGTAAATCGTTGGAACGATTCGCGGTAAAATTTACGCGCTATCCCAACGTTTTCGGTCGTCGTACGAGCCAAAGAGAGAGAGCAAAAAATTGTATCTGCTGCGAGTCATGGACATTTGTCATCATTCGAAAATTCGGCTCGTCATCGAGAGGGAATGAAGCGTTATATGTATGCGACACGCGGCCTGCAGCCCAATCTCGTGCGTCTGCAACGTGCGACAACGGGCGAGTATGGATAGGGTATAAGCGCGTATCCGCTGGCTTGGCAACCGTACGCGCCGAGCATCGGGCGGTGACTGAGCCGTCGTCGTGTGCAGCTGGCGCGCGCCGTGCACCGCACTCTGTACGTCGAGCTTTGCACGCACGCGGCGGCGTCTCCATCTCTCTCTCTCTCTCTCTCTCTCTCTTCTCGGCTCCTAACCCCCTTTTCGTGGCCGACTTTTCGCCCAGTTCACTCTTCTCGCGCGTTTCCCTCTTGTGACGCTGCGTATCACATTATGTGCAGCTGATATATATTATATTAAGCGACGTCATTGATGTAATTTCATTCGAGTAGTCAACTTTAGTGACTACACTTTTTGACTCTTTGAATTCTTTTATTCGCCTTGTTTCTTCGAATACGAATTTTCACGACGCTACAAATTTTTTTCTATTTTTGTTAAAAAACGGACAACTTTTTCGCGACATGAGGAATGGTACAAAATTGAATGAAAAATGAAAACTTGCTTAAAAAACCGAGTCCTGAATTTTCGCAAAATTTACACCTATATTCAGGGCCATCGTCGCGCGAGACTACGAGAACTGCGCTCGGGTTATTTTATCGAGGCACGAGATCGCGCTGTAAAGCTCGAAATGGCCCGCCGAGATCGAGAGAAAGCCGATGTGTCCTCGCAGTTCGAGGAGTCTTTCGTCTTCGTCGGAGCGAAACTGCCTCGCGCGCACTGCACCAATACAAACGTGCATTATATACGCACACGCTGCATTCGCAACTGACAGAGATTCAAGCGTGTACGTATAGAGCGACGGTGTATACAGCGCCGAGGCTCCCCCGCACTAACTGCAGCCACGCCTATTCCTATCCTCGAGTTTGCTCTCGTCTCTTGAAATAACTTCTTTGCCGTAGCTCGGTGTGCTCTTCGACTCGCGAGAAATATCCCCGGTCACTTTTTTTTTCTCAATCCGTTAATCGCTGTCGTGTGCGCAGGAGAGCTTTATGCAGCGGGTCCTCGCGCGAGCTCGAATGAAAAATAAATCGATAGTTTTAATCAATGCGTATATAAAGCTCGGCTGAAACCTCGAACGAAGCTTTTTTCATCAACCATATTCATACCGTTCGTTTTTATCTTTTTCAATAAAATGATCGCGCCTCGAAAACTAATCTCAAATCCGCGCACGCCAGTTGAATCGGTATTATACAAAAATCCAAATCTGCTCGCGTCATATACCGACCAAACTGAATGACGACTGGCTGGAAGCAAGGCCTCGGTTGGCGCGCGCCGCATTAATTCAATTCAAGCCGGCAAAGTATTCCTAAAGTCTCGCAAAAATCGCCAAGTATATCGTCTGGCAAATATATACATCGTAAGATGCGCAGCGGTGCGGTAAGTCCTATATCCGCTCGCATGTGTGTGTGTGTGTGTGTGTGTGTGTGTGTGCGTGGGTGCGAGAGTTGTTGCCGGTGACCGAAATCCCTTCTCGTTCGGGTATGCTGGGCATTTTCAATTTTCTCGCAGCCGCCGCCGCCACCACTGCCCGTTCTTATACGCACTCCCGAGCTCCATGGGATAAAAGGGATATCGCAGCCGAGAGCCGATATAGTTCGGCGTCGCAATCCCAACGCTATGCTTCTCGGCTCCTGCTGTATATGCAAGTTTTTTTCATTCTTTCACCTCTCCTTTTTTTTCCTCCGGGCTTTCTTCGTCGACCTCCTCTTTTTTTTTTCACTCTCTCTTTCTCTCCCACATTGCCAGGCTTCGACGAGAGTTCGCGCACGATTTTACGATTTCAAATCGTATACCTACACGTATACATGTATAGGTCCCTGCGTCCATGTATAGATGTATACGTACGTATAGCTTCGACGGCTTGCCTGGAAAAACTTGTTGGCCGCATTATATATGGGATTTTCTGAATCGCATAGCGAGCGAGGTCGGGATACCCGCTCGTTCTGCGATTCGTGTCATTCTTTATCATGGTATTTTTCGGACGCTGTAGGCGCAATCGGATAAGCTTTTTCAATGTACGTATAGATTTAGATTACTAGCCAGACCGAGCGCGAGCAAAAAATATTTCTAAACCGTATCTACGCTATTTGTAGATACGGACACATCCAATTGATTGCGTTTTTTTTCTTTCAGCTCTCTCTCTCTCTCTCTCTCTTTTAATTTATTAAAGCTTGTATACAAGCCGAAACGACACATTTTCCACTCATGAGAAAATAAACGTTATAAAAAACTTCAAAGAGATAACTCAAACTCTCGATTCAAGTACAATCGATGGTCGAAAAATCCAATAAACCATATGGGAACGATGCGGCTTCGCGATATTCTCGAAACGGTACTTCTTCGAAAATCCTCGCTATTCACTTACAATTACAGTACCTCACTTCTTGGAGTTCTCGCAAATGCTCATGGCGAAGTTCCACAAAAGACGTGTAAGCAAATGTGCCAGTGCCGATGCGCCGGGTCGCGATTATGTGTCTGCGCGCGCGCGCGCGGCAACAATGCCATGCCACCAAGAATCTCTGAGATCGGGATGATAAAGGGGATGGAACGATGCAGAGAGAGAGAGAACGAGAGGAGGCCACAGGGGGTGATAGCAATAAACATAAGCAATAAAGGTGTAGCTATAGAGCAGGAAGATTTCCACTTGTTCGAGCTTGAAGTTCTATCTGCGTTGAAGTAAACGCAGATTGCAGTGGCGTACTTCGAATTTCTCGATTTCCCTGCGTATTATACTTATAACCCTTTAATTGTGCATATTACAGCATGCGTGGAAACTTCTCGCGCGATACCATTTTGTGAACTTCCGATTGGAGTATCAGAATCGAAGTACCTGATAATTGCATATTCGTAATACTTCATAAGCAGAAATTTGAAAGCAAAAAAATAAAAAACCCATTTGTATTCATGTCACTTTATATTTTATTCGTTTTTTGCATAAACTGATTACACCTTCCTTGCACTTAAAGGTAAGGAATGGATCTTTATTGAAATTTAATAATTAATTTATTTGATTTGCCAATGCGCAATTGATAGATTTTGAGATAAATTCGATTGCAATACTTTTATTGTGGAGATGTATTGTCGATAACAGTGAACCCATCTTTATTAATTTTTATATATGTATACACTCAATATAATATACAACATTTTCTGTGAAAACCTCAATCAGTGGTCCAGAGAGGGCGTTGGTACAGATAGAGATGTCATGCGCAAAAAAAGTATTCATACGCTTTGTGCTAATTCAAAATTGTATTGAGTAAACTAAAATTTTAACCAATTTTTGCCTTTAGTTAAAATATAAAAACAGATATTCGACGAGTGGAGGCTTCAAAGTTTTTTTAAAAAACCTACGCATACATCTAAAACTAACATTGGCCATTGAATTATTATTCGAAATTTTTCCTCGGCTTGGCTCTTTTTCAATTTAAATTATATTATTTTAGACGTAATTGTATAAAATTTATCGAAAATAGACATTAATGCTGAATGTACTTTTTGGAACCTCTTGAATTCAGAAGCCTCTTTAATCACGTTCAGGGTTTGATAAAACGAATGAACAAGATTTTATTCCAACATTTTAATAATATAGTAATCGTTTAATTGTTACTGATTTCTTATGAATTGTGGCACTTTATAAAACTGGTAAATAATATTGTTTACAATTTAGCGCACTCGCACACATAAATTTAACTCTGTAAGTACATCAAATATTTCTTTTAACACATTTTTATCATGTCAAGCTCAATATATCACATTTATTTCAGGTACTGTTGAAAATAATTTTTTATTTGAAATAATTAGTAATTCAAGTTGTGAAAACTAGGATTCGATATTGTTATGTTCCTAATATTAAAGCGTTTGTCATTTCCTTATGCAAGCTTAATATTTTCAAGTATTATTAAGTATTCACAAACATATTTTCATAGTGTCGATTTTCAACAATTATTTTTCTCGCATACATTAATTATGATCATTATATGAATATTGAACACACGAGCTTGTTTATAAAAATTTTAGTTTGGTAAAAAACATAATTTTACTCGTATATAATGTGTAAGAGATATTTTTTTATCAAAGAAAAGAATTCAATTTAAATTACTTTTCTAAAATAATTATTTGAATAAAAAAAATATAGTAGATAAAAACACTTTACATGTAGTAAAAAAAAAAAAACGTTGTCAATTTATACCAGAAAAGCACATCTCATTACAATAAATAATCAACTGCTCATGAATGTCTAATTACCGCGAAACTTTGTAAAAAACTTCGAATCAACATGTCTCTTATCCAATAGGTTTATCTTTGTATACTATGGTTTTAAACCCGTAAAATTCATACTAGTTCCTTTTCTTTGTACAATCGAACTGCGTGAGATACAATTTTCAAATAATTTGATTGTTGAACACTTATAAAAAAATGTAAACATTATTACGTAAGGTTTTCTTTATTCAAATAATAACATTTTTCGAAATTAGAAAATAACTAAACTTATGTTAAATTGTTTGAGATGTAATTTAAAATAGGCATCTCGTATACAGTCGAGCTTCAAGTATTTTCTACGTCAACATCCGCGCTCTTAATTATCCATATGATCAACGCTTAGGCTATTTATCAAGACCATTTTTGAAAATAATTTAATCATCATAGTTCGAGTCTGATTACTGATAATGTATTCATCGAATCTCAAGTATTTTCCGTCTAACACTATTGAATGACCAACTGCCATTACATTTAGATATAGGCACTGTAGCTGTACGCTGCAACAGCTCAATGATCTCTCAGCGAAATACGAAGCAAACATTAATTAGCTCGATAAGCTAATATGAATAACATTGAATTTTTGTGAGAAGTTAACGCGTCGAGGAGTGATACTCTCGACGTGCCAACTGTAAGGTCGAGCATTTATCGCGCAAAGCCCTGCGACGACGTTGCTGAAAATCATCCTTGCAGATTTGATGCTGCTGAGGTGAATTCGGAGGCTGCTGTTGTTGCTGCTGCTGCTGCTGATGTTGTTGTTGAGTTTGTAACAACCAGCATCGCAAACGCGTCGGTGTACCATGACCAACGATCTCGCAGGCCTCTTCTAGGTCGTCACCAAGATCCATTCCTGGACCAGGTCGCTTTAGCCCCTATCAAACCTACGTTACAACATTATCGTTGTGAATCAAACGTATTCCCAACCAAATTTCTAAAATTTTTAAACACCTTCCAGAGCAGAAGATGATTGGTGGAGTCCTCGCGGCCCGCCTGCAGTTCCGCAGATGCCTGAGGTCCTCGGAAATCTTCGTAGCCATCGCCACCCGAGATGACCAGCAGCTTGCCGCGTTCGGTCGTGCTGCTGTTGCTGTTCGTTGCCGAGGCGTTGCTGTGCTGCGACGTCAGCGATTTGCTGCCCTTCAACGAGTAGCGATTTGCCTTGGGTCGAGGCTCGCTCTTAGGTGGACTGGGCATTTCCACGCAGGTCAAAAATCGCACGATTCCGGTGTGTCCGTGTGGAATGCCTGCAACATCGAGGGTGAAATGTGAAAAATAATTCCATCGCAAGTAGTGCGCGAACGACATCGGCATCGAGAATTCCTTCTTTACCTGTGACTACGGGTGCTTGAGACATTCTTTGAGTATTATCTTTGATGAGAGGAATCGGCAGCGTTAAAACTACGCCCGCGCTGGTGCCGATCCACAGGAGATCGTTACAGGCCAAAAGAGACGTTACCCTCAAACAAGCGGCCTTGTGTTGCCTAATTATGTCATCGCAATCTGCAACAAGAGGAATGTCATCGTTAAAATAAATCTCTAAGAACGATTGGGAGTAAGCTGGCGCCTCGCGTCCAATGCATACAAGTTTCTCGCCCGAGTCGATACTTACTAACTAACATACTAGTCACGGCCGGGGCGATATTGACGTCGGCCAGGCACTCGTGGCTCGTGGCGTGATACAGCTTGAGCGAGGCGCTGTTGTGCAGGGCTATCCAGACGCCGAGACTGCCGGAACTCGACATGCACGAGACGGTGCGGCTCGGGTCGTTGGACACGTTGAACGCGTGCTCGATCTCGAGGCTGTACGTATTCAGGATCTTGATGCTGACGTGAGTGGCGCACCACAGCTTGCCGGAGACCGGAAGCATCTTCGTGACGGGTGCGGCGACGCTGCCCACCGTCAGACTCACCGAGTCTGTCGTGTTCCAGCCACCCTCTGATCGTTCGTCATGAAAATTATAATCAAAATTTACAATTGCTTCCCACGTGATGCTCGTTAAGGAGTGGCCGAAGTCAGGTTAAAATGATCATTTTCCAATAAATTAGAAAAAATAAATAAAAAAATAAAAGAAAAAATCTCAGAAAATTTGTTTGAATATTTTAATTTTGGCCAGGCTTCGGTACTACTTCAATCAATGCAACTTACGTTGGTCTCTTGAATACACAATTATGTTACCGTTGGCTAACGAAACGAATACTTTGTTGTCCAAATAACTGAAACGAGATGAATCGAATTAAAATATTGATCAAAAGTTTAGATTGTAAGAATTAAAATGTCACCAACATTATGCAGTAAACGCTGCTGCCATGCTGCAGTTTGATTTTGTTTTTCTTAATTCGTATATTATCGCTGCAATTGTAAACATGAATGCAACCATCTTCGGTGCCGAGCCACATGGTTGGCTGGTTGAATTCTTCGTCGTTCGCTGCGGACGATGAATTTGAGGCATCGCGAGATGCGCTAGGATTGTCGGTGCTTGGAATGTCTTCCGAATCGGAGTCGTCACTACTGGAACTGATAGAAAAGTAAAATACAATTTCAACCAATAGCTTTTGTTTCGTGAAAAATGTTAGATACAAATGTTAATGATTTATTCGAAAATTAAAAAGTTATTACTATAGATTACATAACTAGAAGTTATTAGTATAGGACAAAATGTTAATCCACACACTTGGGTCGCTTTTTTTACATTTTATTCATATACCTGTCAATTTGAATATTTCCACTATTTGTTTTTCTAATAGATTTGCCACCACCACGTCTAATTTTTTTATTTAATAAGCCGCGATTCGTCGGAGCTTTGCGTTGCGATCTACAAATAATACATAAATCTCACAAATAGACCCTTTTTAGAAACTTTAGATCGAAGCTTTATAGAGTTGGCCAGATTCTTGTAGCGAATCGCGATAAAGTAGAGCGAGAAAACTTACACTGAGGTGCAGGCAGGGATACCGGCGACGCAGAGAATACGCGCGCTGCAGACGCCGTTGCACGAGGTCACTTGCGGTGGCTCCGGATTGAGACTCAGCACGCAAACTTGACCGACCAGGCCGTCGCTGTTGCAAACCCATACGTCACGAACACCTTGAGGATTAGCTAGAGTCGGAGCTGCACAAGTGAACTGTAAGCCGGCTCGAGTTTTTCTGATCGGCACTGGACCCACAAATTCTGGAACAGGTCGACGGTCTGTGGAAGCAGCTGCAAAACAATCACATACGTTTTAGGTGAGAAAAGATTACCAAACTTTTTTTTGTTTTTTGTTTTTTCTAATGATCTTACCCAATTTTTGTTTAGCTTCATTAAAGCTCTCTTCCCAGCTCGCTCGCTTATCTGGCCTGGCAAACACTACGGATATGTTTTCCATGCCGTTTCTAAACAAACAATTTTTCTCATTAATGAATAATTTTCGTTTTATTCAACGCGATGATAACTATTAATCGTAGTCGTTAAAATTGTTATACTCACTGCGTGTTGAGTGTTAACTCGAGACAAGCTAATTGCGAATGCGCTGCGTTACGCTCGGCCAATAGCTTTTGCGTCTGTGTCTGCATGTCTTTGATTAACTCCTCCAGTTGTGCTTTGGTACCGTGCAAGGTTGTCGCCAACTCTTGCAGTTGATTGAGCGTTGCACAATCGTCTCGCAAATGATCCACCTCTTGAGCCATGCGTCTCAAATTTTCATCCTTGGCTGCAGAGGGAAAACCGGAGCAAAATAAAAAACGAAGAAGAAAAAAGAAGGTGCGAAGCAAAACTCGAAAATTAATTAAATGAAATTCCGATAGCGCCGGCGATCGAAGGGCGAAGGGCGTTTATTTATACGCACATACCTTTCATAACTTCCAAGTCATCTAATGAAATTCTCATGAGCATCTTGTACTTGTTCGCCTCGAGCAATCCGACTATACTGTTTGGACAAGAGCTCCTATATCGAACGAAGATTAATCAATGTAATTCCATTAGAACGAAAGAAAAAAACGGCGATCGATCTCTATTTACAAGTTGATTAAAATAAAAGAGCATTTCACTTACGTAGATGGCTTTCGAATTGTTCCGCTTCTGCGCTTGATGCTCGTAATGACGAGGAAATCCGAAAAGAGAAAGAGACCCCGCTCCTTGCGCGTCCCTTGGTTCGAAGCGATGCTCACCAAGTCGTGGCGGATGAACGATCTGTCGAATATTTTTAAATATAAAACATACGAGCGATTGCGCGTCGAAGAGAGGAAACGAGTCAGTTACCTATCATTGGTAACGATACCGGCGAGACCCTCGACGAGCGCCTGAACGTCTCTGAGGGTCGACTGCTGCTGCTCCCACTCGAGGGACTCGCGCTCGGTGCAATTGATCTTGACGACGAGCTCGTGCACCTCCTTGAAGGCCGCCGTGAGCAGGTCGTGATCCGGATGCTGGGGCTCGGTGTGCTTCAGCAGGCGCTGTATCAGCAGCTCGTAGCGCGGAATCTTCTGCACGGGCTTGATGAGCAACTGGTCCAGGCCGAGTTTTCCTTTGTGCTCGCGCTCCATCGTCTGCCACCGAGGCGTTATAAATTTCATGATTTGTGTTTACATAATTGCATAGAGCCAAGCGCGGTGCACACATATAACGCGCGTGTGCGGTGGCGTGCGCGCTTGCAAAAACAAAAGCCGAACGGAAATCGGAAACTAAAAATAAAGTCAACTATCGCATAGAAATGATGTTACCTCGAGAAAGCGTTGAAAGCCAGACTTTGCCTGGCTGGCGGCTTTGATGGCCTTCTTAGCCGTCTTCCAATTGTCGAGGAACAGAGTATAAGTCTCGAGTACCTCTGGCTTGGTGAACTGCAACAACAAAGATAAGTTCGATTCATCGGGCGTCGCGGTGCAAAACAAAACGCGCGGCGGCCGTCGCGCTGCTGCAAGGCTCTCTTTACTCTATACGCGACATCGATCTTTCGACGGACTCGGCGAGAAACTTTTCAGCGCTTTGCGAGCAGAGGAAGCGGCAGCGCGAGATGCAGCTCTCGACTAATCGCGAAAGAGGCAAGGCAAAAAAGTTGGCGCGATATGTCTTACCACCTCGAGGAAAATGTCTCCGATTGTTTGCCGCAATTCCCAAGTCTCCAGACGCTTGCGTAATTCCTCCAGAAATACTTCATGGTGACTGAGTATCGCCGGTACCTACGTAGAATAGATAAAAGCAACTTTATATTTATAAATCCTGTACAGTTGCTTATGCAGCTCACGGTACTCTCGCTTCTGCGTTTTCTTTTTTTTTTTTTTCGTTTGTTTTTCGATTCCCTCTCGCGCACACAGCTGCTTTAAATTCGCGCGTTTATCCAAACTACCAAAACAGTCCAAGGGTATATATATCCCCAATCTTTTTCGCGTGTAAGTCGCACGTGTAAAATTTGTAAAAATAAAAACAAAATCGCGTCGTGGGTGGATTTAGTAGCGTAGCGCTCGCATCTTTTACAAATTATACCTCGCTTAAATAAACGGTTACCCCTCGAGCGAAGTTCATCTTGTCCGAATCCACGCAAATAATGTACAAAATCATAATAAACTTAGATGTTTTTGTTTTTATTTTTGTTTTAAATCTGTTAGTTACATGGACAGAATGAAAAAATTTCAACAATTTCACAAGACTCGCGAAATAAAATAAAAGTTTGACACATAAAAATATTATACCTGATAAAATATTTCGTCTACTGTGTTAGAATCCACCAAATTCGCATACTCTGGACTCTTGAGTGGCTGAAGGTATTTCTGAAACACACAATTAGAGCATCAGCGAGTGTATAATGCGCGCCTTTTGTAGTCGATCTATATGCACACAGACGCACCCGTACTTAACGCGTATTGAAGATAAGGAATTTCAAGTATATAGGAGGTGTATAGGCATTGGCCTAATCGCTGCACGTGCGAAGCAACTCAATGAATAGACCCCCGCAATAAGCTCGCGTATCTATTGTATACATATATAATGTATGCCCGCTAAATCATTTGAGAGTGAGAGAGAGAGAGAGAGAGAGATGGCAAAATCGGTGATGCGCTCGTTGGCAGCCTGCCGCATTATAAGAGTATATACAAACGAGCGAATGCCGATGTCAATTTATTTTCATCATCGTCTCGCGTGGACCTGCGCGAGTATACACAAACTTCTAGCGTGTTATAGATCTATATTCAAACGCTCGCGCTACACACTGGAAGCAGTTTATTCTCAAAAAATTACTTCAAGGTTACAACATTTTTTTGTGCATATTCTAGTGTTGAACCGATAAAGAATATATAATAATTAGACGTAAAAATTTTCAAAAATTGCATAAATCAAAACAAACTGGACAAAAGGAACTTTGCAAACACCAAGTGCGACAAAGGACCGAAAGCACAAAGACGCCGTTGGCTCGATACAGTTTCCACTACGTATATGTATACATAATGTACGATCCGCGGTGCATCGTGAGAGCTCAGGGAGCGTGAACGCGCGGGGATTTTTCAATGATTCATTCCCCAGCTATTTTTATACTTCGAATTTCTTCAATTCGATTATAAACGTATTATTGTTTTAGGGGTTAGACGCGATTTTATTTTATTTTTCAAGTCGCGCGATATTTAGCAAAAACATACGAGAAGTTTAGTACTGTTTGTGCTTTCAGATGGATGATCGCATATCTCAGAGAGAAATGCGAAAAACGAATAACTTTCATTGCATTAATGGCCCGGGTGTAAATTTCGGTCATATATCCATCGTAAATTAAGGGAGTCTAACGATGTTGTTATTTCAGTATAACGTTGCTGTTTGACTTTTAATGCTTGAAAAATGTTCCCGCAAATCAAGCTTACAGCTTTCAGTTTTAGCTAAGGTTTCGTTTGATTACAATAAAATAAAATAATATATGAAACATGGAAAAACTTTTCGAGGTGGAAGATTTTTGGTTTTTGAGTTGAAATTATAGACTCCAATCTGCTAAAATTAAAATTTCTTAAAGGGCATGGAACTGAGAGAGGAAAATTCAACGTTTCATCCAAAATCATAAGAAAACTGCTGCACAATTGGTCCAACTCCCTTTCATGCTATTCTTGAATTCGTTTGGCGCACTTGAATCTGACATCGTAAGATGAACGAACGATAAATACTTCGTTGATTCTGTTACATTTGCGTGAATTTATATTTTCCGCTTGCCGATCGGCTCAACTTTTGCTCTCTGGCTTCCCTTGTTGTCGAAAACATATAAAAGCCACAAAATCGTATGGACATAAAATTTATTCAGTTTTTTTTTTTGTTCACTCACGGTCGTTACAAATATGACATATTTGCGATATAAATAAAAAATATATGTACGAATCGGTTCAACTTTCTAACTCTCTGGTGCTTATAAATGCGAAATACCAAAAATCATGAGCTGATCGTGCATCAAATTGGAACACCGTGACCTCGAAATATTTTCTCGTGCACAATGTGTGTAGCGTACGTGTGAGCAATATGTGCAAAACGCGATTACCATCGCAACGTGCAAGGCACTGCTCTTATGCATCTTGAGCGATATAGAATTGTTAGCCATCCAAGTTTGCTTGTCGTCGAAAATCTAGTTTAAAAATCTCAACTCTCTTGTGTCGCAGACGGTAATGTCCGGTGTATCGTCGCCTTGATAAAAATAGAAAGAATCGTCTTTGATTAATCGAAAATACCCGAGACGCATTCTTTATTGCATTTCGCACGAGCCGTTATATACGTATATCCGTACATTTGCAAGCTCCGTGAGAAAGAGAGCAAAACTTTCACGGACTACAAATACAAAAAAAAGTTTTAAAAAATTATTTTCCGCAAGGATGGAGTATTTTCTGGAAGTTACTACTACCGCTATTGCAGCAACCTCGTAATTCGATACGGGCTTTTTTTACACATTACAGACAAACGCAGCAGCAACAGAGGCAAAAGCGTGCTATGCAGAACTGCATAGCCGAAGAGAAGCTGCGAACTTTCAATCGAGGTCTGGGCCACCACGCCTCAAGGCTAAACACGGCTAACGAAGTTTACGAATTTTTCTTCTTTTATTTTCTCATTGCTCTCTCGCTTAAATTAATCCTTTGCGTATTTGCTTGGTTTTTTTACGGACGGGCAAAAGCTTTTACTTTCATTATCTCAGCTATTGCATACACGGATCTCACTTGAAAAAAAACTCACGATCAATTTGGATAATGCAAAACTCGAAAAGTCGAGCAATTTCCACTTGCGAGTCGTGCACACTCGAGCCTGTTTACAAATAAAGGCGTGAGTGCTTATCTATGTACACAATTTGAATTACAGCAAGTATACACGTGTGTGTCGAAGAGACTCGCGCAGGGACATTATTCATAAAACGGTAATAACGTTTCATCGAACGGGTAAAGCGTTCAGCTGGAATCATTAAATTGCAGCTACAGTGTCATCACGTGCGCAGTAATGGATAAACAAGTCTCTCTCTCTCTCTCTTTCGCTTCTGCGTTCGAAAATCTTATTTACTTCACTCGCGTGATGCCTCCACTGCTACAACGCAGTTTTCCACAGTCGCGTATGTATAGGCAAGAGCTTGCTGTTAACCTGTGACGACGTAAAATTTCCGTTTGTTGATTCCAAGCGATACGCGCCGCGCAAATGTCATCTATTTCCTGATAAATAATTCATTTAAAGATACATCTGAAAGCTTTCACGATCATTCCTCGAGCTTATCGAAAATAATGAGGTATCGAACGAACGCACTTCAACTCGAAACTTACAGAGTATACTCTGCAAAGATCGAGTTACAGAGGAGCACAAATGTACTTGATATTTCTTCTTAAGTTTCCTTTTGAGCATATAAGTCAGCTATGATTTCTCCTTTACGTGGAAAATAATTGGCTAAAAAAAGCTCTCTCAAATCTGCCGTACGTAGATCTACAAGATCGTTGACTTTTATTTCTTTTGTCTCGTTTCAATTAAAGTATCCAATCTTAGTGCAATGAAACGTCGTCGAATCATTAATCAATTTTTGCAAATAACGGCTGCAGCGTTGTTTCGGCAGCATATCGTTTCGCAGCCAGCTTTATTCGAGTCTTTTATATATTTCAGCCGAGCCACGCGATAGCGTGTTGGCCGACGTTCAGTAAATCATGGGAATATTGTCGCTCGAGAAGAGCTCTTATTCGGCTGAATTGGGTTTTTAGTTTTAAACTGACTTTCATTGGTGCATGCATCCATTGTTTCTACGCGCGTGCCTCGAAATTTAACAATAAACTTCTTCTTTTCGTAACGTACAAAGTTTGAACTTTTACGAGCTTGCAGCTCTGGCAGAATCATTTTAATGGCCATTTCAAACCTTGTGTGTTGATAAGCAATGGAAAATTTGCTTGGATTACTTACATGGACCAATGTTTGTAGCGCTTCGACGTACGAACGTTCCGTTTCGTAAAGCTCAACGACGACGTGAGTTCGTGTATCCTGCAATGAAAAAAATCATGACATAAATCTAGAACTTAAAGCGCTATTTGATAGAAATAAAAATAATTTGGAAATTTTGGAGTTTTATATGATGTGTGAATATTAAACGTAATTTCATTAAATAATAATGGATAGTAGGAGCAACAATTAGTTGGTGGCATTACGTGTTGGACAAATAATAACCAAGTATGAACCAGCTATATACGCAAAAGAAAGTTTATGAAAAAAAGCATCGCCAATACATACACAGAGTCACAAAATACAATTGACGAAAATTTCTCATTCGAAAATTAACGATTTTCGTTGTCGTCGTCAACGTAGTTGTCGTAGACAGCCGCACGTTTGTATCGAATCCGCACGTTGTAGGCACGTAAATACGCTGTATACGCGAATAACGAGGGGAAGAGAGAAAGAGAGACGGACTGAGACACGTCAAGCCACGAGACACACGTGCACGCGCCACTACACACTTGCAAAATGAAGTGAGCTAGACGATTTTAACATGTAGCTGTGTGTATACGACGGAGAGGAAAACGTGACCACTCCACGTGCCTCAAAGTGCAGTACTACATTTTGTCGAGCGTCTCTCTCTCTCTCTCTCTCTCTCTCTATTTTACTATACTATTTCAGTCTGTGTTTGTGTGATTGTGCGTGAGCAGTTCTTGTCTGTATGTAATTTTGAAATTATTCCATGACGTTTTGCAGTTATTTAAAATAATGATTACAGTCAAATTACATAATTAAAAGTTCACGTTAACTTCAAAATATATAATATACAATAATTAATTGCAAAAAAGAATCGTGGATTCAAACGGAAACTGTGACCGACAGGTCCTAATGAATTCAAATGAATAAAAATAAACGTGATGTATACACGACATCGAAAAAAGAAACGGTGAATTAAAAGCAAATCAGTGATGTTTTTTTTACTACCCACCGAATCCTTCGACGACTGTCTGCCATCTTCGCTGTCTACGGATAGCTGACTCGTAAAAAATCGGTGCTCAACACTCATCATCTTTTCTATTTATTGCAGGGCTTTTGTATAGGTCTCAGAAAAGCCACTGAACTCACAATTCAACGAGTACTAAGTTTTACACACTTTGTTGATTAACTTGTTATGTTTAAAATCGCATTTTTATAATGTTCATGAGATATTTTAGAATTGATGATTTTTGTTTTAACTGATCAGTTATTTAGCTTGATCTGTAAAAGCAATCTCCGACTTCATAGTGCCCAAGTATATACATGTTTTCTGTCAAATCAAAATTTCAAATAACTTTCAATGAGTTTGATATCGTATTTGCTTTCATTATATAAGTAGCATAATAATTTTGAAAATTCAAGGAAAGAAATTTTTTGAAGTAAAATTTATTTGATTTAAATGAATAAATTTAAAACTATCCAATGTATGCACAATGCATGCAAATAAACGATTTTATAACGACATTCACAACATAATTAAAAAGATTCTACTAGAATTTTATTGTTAATTTTCGATCTTCTTATTGTATAAAAACGTTTGTACACAAGAAATATTGTTGTGTTTGTTATGTTTGTTACAGTAACAAATATTTTTGGTTAACGGTAAAATGAAAAGTAGATCCTACTTGAAAATGTTGATCCGAATGTCATGCCACATTTCGCAGTTGCATATTGATTGATTTCAACGGCATATAAATTATGCAAGTGTCGCATACGCATGATGATCTGAAAGACGTGCGTATGGCTTGTATAATCATATGCGAATCAAACCTTTTGTTCAATCGCACATAACAACAAGAGCACAACTTTTTCATCTCTCGCGGTCCGTGCAATATAAGAAAAAATGGCGAGATCCGCTTCATCGTCGCGCCGCGCGCTTTTATACATGAAACTCGCGTTATGCCACAAATTGCGCGTCGCGTAATAAATAAAAGTTTACGCGCTTATAGTATAGCACAGAAACTGTATACGCGGTATGCGGAAGCTCCCCCGTAAACACGAGGCTCGACCCCTGGCGCCTGCTTCCTCCTTCTCCTCCTCCTCCTTCCTCTTGCGCACTTTTCAAGTTCAAGACAAGGATATGCGAGCGAAAGATGCAGCGTGCGCTGCCACCGTACTAGTGCTGATGTACCATACTATCACCATCGAGTCTGTTCAGCAAGAAAATTACAACAAGCGCACGTGGAATGAAAGTTCGATTATTGTACACCCGAGTCAGCGAGACGTCGATAATATTTGTTGTGCAGCTTTCTCTCTTCTAATGCAAACGCAATGCTTTTATTTTATACAGAACGTGCAGTTTATCGAACAAAGACAAAAAAGCCCGCAAGACGGTGTTGATCGCACGAGGGCGAAAGAAAACTTTGTCACGGGCAGCTTGTAATGCGCGCGTGGAAGACAATTTCTCCACTCAAATAATATGTGCATATTTTTATTATGCATATCCAGAAATTGATTGAAAGGTACGTGCTCGTGATTGCTCATCATTGATACGGATAGCTGTAGCCTTTCGGACTTTTTTCGCCGGTCCGCGCTAAAATTTTTCGATATGCAAGCACTACACAATGAACTTTAAATGGAACTATAGATTCTGAAGGATGCAACGTGTATCTGACTCAAGGTCGATTAATGTCACTCTCGGTTAGCCAAAGCACTTAATGTTATATTTATGTCAACTCGATACATCGATCAACTATATAGATGTCTGTAATATATGACCGATTAGCGCATTTGTCGAGGAGAACGTCAAAATATAATTGTAATCTCGAAAATTCACGCAATTTAAATAAAAAAAATGTCGTTACTTTGATAGAGTATGACGACCAATCTCTCAAGCTCTGAAAAATGAGCTGTATACTTACAGTCATGCTTCTCTAATAGATTAATTCAGATTAAATGGGCTTAATCATATGACAAGTTTGAAAAGTTTAAAAAATATATATACTAATGTAGGTGTTCGTATTGTATTTTCAATTTTATCAAAATTGTTGTAAAACACCTTAAGTTTGGTTTACGTTTTCTCGTTAACATACTTTCTTAGTCTTCCTTTTTCACAAAGTCGTTTTAAATTTAGTCTCGTAAAGATTTAGCGTTAGGTCCAGCAATGTAAGGGAGCTTTTCCTCGCTTAGTATTTGGCGCTGATTACAAAGCCTCTGGCAAATTTTTCACCAACGCTATTTGCAGATCATTGTTAAATAAGATTATTGTTAATCCATATGTCTCGAAATATTACATAGTATAGACTTTTTGATGCTATTGCCTAAGTCATTTCTAAATTAAAACTCCACAAGGCAAAGATTATGTTGTACTTTTAATGTTAGATGAAAATAAACCACTGTTTACTTTTGGATAATGCAAAAAAATCTTGTCAGCTTTATTCAGTACAAAAGACAGAGAAACTCGCTGTTCGGTTGTCAATAAGCAAAAAGTTCTCGCACATTGTGTGAATTGATTTTCGCTCGAAGCCCATTGAATTTTCTCTCCAGGAAGCATATAAATACATCGTAACAGAGCGTAGGAGATTACTGAAAATCTGTAATGCTTATGCAACTTTTATTGAAATTCAAAGTGACTACTAGGCTCGCTCGCATCGCGCTTATATTATGAATAGTCATTACGTTCCGATCGTCCATTGCTAAGTTCATCGAGTTATAAATATAAGGCAGTTTATTCCCGATGAATATGTTTCTATCGTCGCTCTGCGTAAGTAAAATCGTCTGCGTTCGGGTTGCAACTACTACCCTATATATGTGTAGTGCATTTTATTACCATAATTAAAAATTATATAAATACATTACGCGAGCGCGCTCGACGCCTGGGCTTCGTTTGCTCGTTAGCAATAAAAATGCAAAGATGAATGTATAAAAAAGGAAAAATCCAAAGAGAAAACGCATCCTTGGATCGAGAGAGAGAGAGAGAGAGAAAATTATTCCAAACATGATCACGCTGCTCTTATAGCATCGTCTGCCGTCTGGTATGCATTACTCATACGTGTAAGTACGCACACGCGCTCTCACGTAAAAGCACAGGAAAGCAGCAGCTTCCTTCCGAGCTTCGACCTCGCGCGCGCTAGCTCGCTGCCTGGCTGCATATGTATCTTTGGACTTTTCTCCACTCTCTCTCTCTCTCTCTCTTTCTCTCTCATTCAGACTGTCCGTGAAAAAAAAATCAAGGAATCGTCCTTGGATTACGGATTAAGGGGCAAGGCTCTGCAAGGCCATTTCGCATTATTGCTGCGGTTTGTCTTCCGCATCTTCTCCTCGTTATATCGCACGCAAAGTCTAATAATTATCAAGGATTAAAAATATTGTGACTATTATCATGTAATTTTAGGAGACATCGTTATCGAAAAAAATTACATAAGTATATGGAAGTCAATTGATGAGCTGTCATGCAATGATCATTATAATATAATCCTATTTACTAAACACTGATCGACGAATTTTGTTATAATATTCTCAAGGCTGAATGAGAGAGTACAAAGAAAAATATAGCTTTTAATGTTTTTGAGTATCACGTGCTTATTCTGAATATGAAAATCATATATCTCGTAAAAAAATGCTTCTCAAGTTTACTGTAAAAATGTTTCAATCATCAGTTCCGTATGTACAACGCATTGTCGATTCAAAAATAAAAGCGCTTCGTGTTTATTGACACGGATTTCTTTATTGTAAAGCTATAATATCTATTTTCCTTCAAGCTCTACATATTGAGTTTTTTTTTTATACTTACAAGGCATAATGAAAAAACTATTCAAAAAGCCACACGACGAGATTACACGTCGGGTTCGCTTGACTATTAATAGATTACGCTAACTCTGCATTATACGATTTAGTGCAAAGTCTATCGGATTCGTTGACATGTGCGAGGTCTGAGCACTTTTATCATTATTTTCTCCCATTATACAAGTGAACAATCGGTGTTCAAGGCTATCATAATTGTACGCATTCAAAAGTAAATTAGCCCCAAAAAACGTAACGCTGCCCGAGTTATTTCGTAAAAAAAACCAACTCAT